ATGCTCGTTGTTGAATTCAACCAAATGAGTTATGGCACCATCAATAACATCCACTTTGCCATGCAACAACTTGTATTTTTCTTCCAGCTTCTTTACTTCTTCCGACACCAAAGATTTTATCTCAGCAACCTTAAGATCAAGAGAATCCTTCGTTGCATTCACCTTTTCCATAAAACGTTCATGACTTTCCTTAGCAACATCATGAAGCTTTTGAATCTCATAATCAAAACTCTTTGAATGAATTGACAATCGTTCTTCTTGTTTCTGCTCAACACCCTCAATCAAATTCCGCAAACATGATTAATGGGCTTTTAACAAACAATCCATCTCAAACCTAATCATATAATGCTTCCCTCTTATATTTGCTGTAATTTGAAGAAGCGAATTGATCTTTGAGTTAAAAATCTTGAATTGCTTCCCATGATATGATTAGTTCATTAGGAATATCTTCTTCTTCGGGATTGCATTGAAACTTTACATATAAAACCAGTACATCTTCATCATCAGCTTCGTCTCCTTGAAGTGACTACTCAGTTGATTGTGATGAGAAAAGAGTGGTGATGGATTCTTGCATAAGACCAAAAAATGTTGTTGAGACAGTAGAAACAAAAACAGAATTAAGAATGGGTGATGTTGGTGGTGGTAAAACTGTTAAAGTTGTAATGGAAGTTGTAACAGTAGATTCTTTATTGATCATCCCTTCATCCATGTTGACATTTGTGTCCTTATTTGATAAGTTCACAGTGATGTTTGGAGTTTCGACCTCCTCTTTACCAGACTCGATATTCGAAACCTCAGATGGTTTGACTAAATTCTTCTAAGGGATGTTGGTTTGTTGTTGATCACCTGAATTGATGTTTATATCCGTATCAGATACATTTACAGTGACACCAGGAATCCGTGTCTCCTTAAAAATCGATTTGACAGGGGTACCTTTCATGGCGAACCAATAAAAGAATCAATTTGAATGTCTGACATGTCGCTATCACTATCATTCTCAGTCTCTACTGTTACTTCCTCAAGTCGAACTCCACCATGATCATTCTTTGTCTTCTTTATCTTTTGCACAACATATATAGTTTGACGCTTCTTTGTTGCTGGAGAACCAGGACTCGAAATCTCGCGAATTACAACTCCAAATCTAGTAAACTATAACTTCTTAACTCTTTTGGAACAACACTTTTTGCCAACTATTTCACTTTCCTGTGTAATTATATCTGCACTTGGAACAGAAGTTTCAACAAACATGGGCGCAATAGTCTCGACAACCAGCTCAGGCTCTTGAGTAGGTTTCGTGATTGCACAATCAAAAGTTTTCTTTTATAGTTTCTTGGTTCGTTTAAGTATCCCTTTACCAGTCTTCATTGGTATTGTTTCTTTAACAAATTCCTCTTGTACTTCGGGTTGTTTCTCAACTTGTTTCTTCTTCTTCTGAGTTTTGGATTCCTTTTTGGAAACAGGTGGTGGTAAAATAGTTGTTGTAGTGGTGGAATCAATCAAAAGTAATTAATTGACCAACAAAGGATTTGTTGGGTCAACCAACTTAAGCATCGAATCAGGAATTCGAGCAACATTGGGAAATATATTTGCATCATCCACAAAAACCCTTGGAATAGTCATCGTCGGAAATTCAACAGATTCAATTCCATCAAGATTGAGAATATTTTCCTGACTGTAAATTTCTTTCAAAATAAGTCCCCAAAACCTAGCACTTGATATTCCAGTTGCAAATTTCGTGTGAGAGATTGAGATTCCAAATTCTTCCCATAGGAGTGATGCATAATCGATATTTAGACCATAGTATAATCCCGCCATAACATAATATATATCAAGCTTGGCCAGGTCAAGCCTAGAGCTTCTTCTTTTCAAACATCATCAAAACTATCCCAAACAAGAAACTCCAAACACATGGAAGAGTGGACTTCTTTAAGTGACTAATTTCAGTGAGTGTAGGTTGATGTCCCATTTCGTTGAACATATGAATAACTTGATCATGCGTAACTTCACAAAAGTACCTGATGTTGGTACTCCTAGGATTTGTGAAAACTGTTTCCGGGTGAGATTCTTTTATTTTAAGTTCGTAAGCTGGAATGTAACCACCTTTGTTGGATGGTGAGGCGTTATGACCCGTTCTGAACCGTCGAAACGCAATGGAATCGAAATTGCTTATTTTCGGTGCGATTGGATGAGACATTGTGAATGGGTCCGAACACGATATTGGGGTACATTGGATTCGTTTGGACTGGCTCATTACGAATGGGATGGTTGCGACTGGTTGTGAAAGATCACAATATGTGGCATTCGTCTGATGGTCATTGCGATGTGATTCACATTAGTTGATGGATCGTTGCGAAGATTAGTCTGGTTGTGAGAGGGGGATTGGATGTGAAAGTTGTTTGGATCCCGATTTACTACTCAGTCACAATGGGACATTTGGATGCGATGGATAAGTTGGTTGCGATTTGCTTTGGCATTCGATGCTACTTTGCACGTGGCGTTTTTCTAGAAGCATTGGAAGTTGAAATGTCACATTTTCCACTTTCCAATATGTCATTTCCCAAGGAAACTATTCCAAATATATTACTTCCCCAAGACATGTCATTTAATAGTATTTTTTTAGTATTTTATTAGCATTTAAATAATCCTTTAATTGCCAGAACTATTAGTGTCTTTTATTTTTTAACAGTTATTTGTAAGACTATATATATAGTCATGTTCTATCATTTTGAAATGAGCTATGTGTTATGTTGAAGATATAAAATTTGAATTGTTGTTCTTTCGAGTTGTTGCGACAATTCAAACTTGGATCCTTATTAGGACGCGCCTCTTAATATTGATCTCGAACTCAAGTTAATAGGTCTTAACTTGTTTTCACCGAACTCAAATCAATAGGTTTTGGTTTGTTTTCACCGAAGTTTCAAGTTATATGTCTAGTTTGATCTCTATACCTATCCCTTTTTGTTATTTTGTTCTTGTCATGTATCCTTTGTTATTTATTCCGCTGCATTTTCAAGACTCATTTGGTATCAAAAGTGGTATCAGAGAATTGAGTTTGAAACATACATGGTAACGAGGTCCGTACAAGGTCCGTACAGGTATCAACTTCCCCACATGACCCACATGTAGAATTTCCGATGTTTACCCCCATGACTTTTTAGGGCAAAATCCGAAGGAATACGATCCTACAAAGTTCACCAAACAAAACAAGAGACCTTGATAAGTTTATAAAAACACTAACATGAAAACTTAATTAAGTTAGTTGGTTTTATGACAATATTTAGATATTACTGCCTTCTAATATCTTTTTTTTCCATTTAATATCTTACTACTAGTGTTAACAATTTTATGATTCCAGAAAACTAAAACTACCGTAACAACTTGCGTTCTCAACATCTATGAGAGATATCTAAATCATCATAAAAGAAGGAGATTATTCGGCAAATGACCAAAATGTAGGGTGACTTTGAAGAAAATGACTACAAAAATGAAGATCTCAGAAAATGACCACAAGTTCCGCAGAGGGGGTTCTGCGGAACCATAAACACCTCTGCGGAATGTGGTTTTTTTTTTTTTTTTCGTTTTTTCGTTTTTTTTTCGTTTATTAATATTATTTTTTAATCACATAAGGTATTATGTGATTATTATGTAAAAAAAAAATTGTTTTCGTTTTTCCTTTTTCTTATTTAATTACCCGTTTATAAAAGCTGTGTGTTTAATAAAAATTATACAAATATTCTATGTTTTTTATAAAATTACACACACCGGTATTCTGAATTATACAAATATTCTATGTTTTTTATAAAATATTTTATGTTTTCTAAAGTATGTTTCGTAACCTACTTAAACTATGTTTATTATTCAGAATACCGGTGTGTGTAATTTTATAAAAAACATAGAATATTTGTATAATTTTTATTAAACACATAGCTTTTATAAACCAGTAATTAAATAAGAAAAAGGAAAAACGAAAACAATTTTTTTTACATAATAATCACATAATACCTTATGTGATTAAAAAAATAATATTAATAAACGAAAACAAAAAAAAAGAAACGAATAAACAAAAAAAAAATGAAAAAAACCAAGATCCGCAGAGGTGTTCACATTCCGCAGAGGTGTTTATGGTTCCACAGAATCCCTCTGGGAAACCTGTGTTCATTTTCTGAAATCTTCATTTTTATGGTCATTTTTTTAAAAGTTACCCTACCTTTTGGTCATTTGCCGAATAAGCTCTAAAAGAAGTTTTAAATTATTACATAAATTAGTGACATATCTCATCACGAGATTGATGGTTCCAGGCCTATATAAAATATAAATTAAATTGAACTAGAATAGTAATTCAAAATAGATTAGAATATATGTCGGTTTAAAAAATAATATAAACAGATCATAGCATACAAAATTTGTATGATTAAGAATCTTTTTTAAAATTAAATTTCTGAAATCATCACAGTTACCCATGAAAAATAAATGTTGGGTTTAACTCCGTCCCCATCCATGCATTTGATGCATACAAAATTTAGTAGCTTGTGATATAAAATTGTCCCACCCAAAACTAACTACAAATATCGATAGCATTTTTATTTCACAGTGTTTTGATATACGGAATAATAATCTCATCACTATAGGTTGTTTTGATCATTTGATACAGAGTAATCATCATATCTACATATATATATTTAATGTAATAATACGTAAATTTGAAGTTCATAAGAAAACAATCATTTTTTGTAGTTTTATGCATCGAGCCCAAACAGTGCTAAGTTCATTCCGAAGCTTAAATATATGCACTATCTTATATTTCAAATGCAAAATATTAAAAAAAAATAATAATAATAACATATTTTATGATGTGAAATTGGTAAGTTTATTTATTTATTAAAATAATGCATAATACTGAAAAAAGTTAACATTAAAAGTTTGACTTTTTTTTTCATATTCAATTCATTTGCATTAAATGGTATCTATGACGCTTTTATAACCCTCTCTTTCTCCCTTTAAAACCCCTTCAAACTCCACACTTCAAACTTCAAACTCCACACCACACCACACCACACCAAGAAATGGCCAGCACCACCACCGCATCAAGTCTGCAAATCAACAACGATTTGGCTCACAAAAACCTCGATGATGATGGTCGCGAAAAACGAACAGGTTTTATTTCTTTTTCTTTTCTAGCTAATAGTAGTAGTAGTAGTGCATGCATGATATGGATCTTTGTGGTTTCAAATAACGATAGATTGATCGATGTGGTGGGTTGGGTTGCAGGGACCTGGGTGACTGCAAGTGCACACATTATAACTGCGGTGATTGGGTCGGGCGTGCTGTCTCTAGCATGGGCCATCGCTCAGTTGGGTTGGATCGCTGGTCCAGCGGTTCTCATGACCTTCTCTTGCATCACTTACTTCACCTCCACCCTTCTTGCAGATGCATACCGTGCACCAGATCCAGTGTCTGGGAAGCGTAACTACACCTACATGGATGTGGTTCGAGCCAGTCTAGGTCCAACTTAACATCCATCTCTTCTTTTTATAACATCATGTGTTTATTGTTTGTTAACAAAGGGTAGAATTGTCATTTTTATAGGAGGGAGGAAGGTGCAATTATGTGGGATAGCTCAGTATGTAAATCTTGTGGGGGTTACAATTGGATATACAATAACTGCTTCTATAAGCATAGTGTAAGTGAATAAATAAATGACATGCAACCATTTCTATACATTTATATAACAAAGTATATAGTTATAATTTTTTGTACCACTAGTATTATACATTATATATGAAGTACCGCAAAATGGAAATAACTTGGAATCCTACATGTTTCAATCTTGATATTTTTTAAATGTTCAAAAAAAATAAATAACTAAAATTATATTTTGTTTTATTTTCAGGGCAGTGAAGAAATCGAATTGTTTCCATGATCATGGGCATGGAGCAGACTGTAAACCGTCGAATTATCCGTACATGATTTTGTTTGCAGTAATTGAGATTCTGTTAAGTCAGATACCCAATTTTCATAAGCTATCATGGCTTTCGATTTTAGCTGCAGTCATGTCTTTTGCTTACTCTCTCATTGGACTCGGCCTCTCGATAGCTAAAGCCGTTGGTAAATCTTCAAAATACATATTTTCTTTTATCATCAATGTTCATCACTATGAATATTTTAATTTACTGTTTTTTTGGTTGTACAAATTAAAAAAGCTTATTTGATTTATTTCTTTTTTTATATTTGTGGAAAGATTCTTTATGACTTTTGTAAATTACGTATGTTGAAATTAATAGGGGACCGGCATGAGGCAAAGACAACACTAACAGGTGCAGAAGTAGGACCACTTTTATCCAGTTCAGAGAAGGTGTGGAAAACATTTCAAGCGGTTGGAGACATTGCTTTCGCTTATGCCTTCTCCACTGTTCTTATCGAAATTCAGGTTTTTATCTCATACTAATTACTTTTACTTTTATGAAGTTAATGTGAACTTTTTAAGAGTTTTTCGGAAATTTAAAACTTTTAGCTTTGAAAAATCTCGAAATAAAGGAAAGAAAAAAGCTTTGCTGAAATTATGAGAACAAACAGCGGGTAATTAAAACCCACTTGAAGTAGCATCTAAAGAATAATTATTATTATAGCATAGGTTGCATTTAATTTTAATCTCTTACTTGTATGTCATTTATATAATTTTATACGTTTTAAAAGTTTATAACTAAATTTATCAACAAATAAAAACTATACATATTGGAAAAACTATATTCTAAAGTTCAACTTTCACTGCCATATCTCTCTCTCTTTAT